GGATGAGGTGTGTCTCTGAGAGCACTGTTTCCATTGTTACCTGGATGGGAGCCCTCAGGGTATTGATTCTGCTTTGCATGAGTAGCACCATAAAGATCAAGTAAAGCATGTGGAAACAGGTTTAACATATGGCTCAAAACATCCAACTTTTTCTTTTCAGAACAGGTTTAGAAAAGTCCCTCTGCCACAAACGTTCAGAATGAAGGAGGGGATCCAGATATCGGTTGACACACGTTTCAGCTAAACCCTGAAGAGGATGCAGAACCAGAACGACCCAAAAACAAACAACCAAACAAATGGCTCCCCATGAACCAGGTGACCAGAACCTGATCTGTTCCTTGCAGCCGGACCTGATAGCATCAGATCAGATCCAAGCAGATGGAAACACTGAGCTGCAGAATCAGAAGCTGCAGGTCATGATCACAGCTCCCCTTTCAACCATCCAACCGTCTCCCTCCTTCAGTCTACATGCAGCAATTAGAGCCGAGCTGACTCGTTTCTGGGTGTTTGGGCCAAAAGGGGGAGCAAACCCTGACTCTGTGTCACGGCCAACAAGCCTTTCTTTATTTCCTGCTATGATATTTTCCCTAAAACTTTTACAGCGCTTCTTATCTGGATGGGATAAGAAGCTTCTCTTTCCATTAGATCCCTGTTCATTCTGAAACCCACAATCTGATTTCTGTCTTAGAGAATGTGAGCATTCAAACCTTCTGATGGGCCAGGAATGGGCTGGTCTTCCTGCTCACTCTTCTGCAGGGAGTTCTTCTCCTTGTTCAGGTCTGCATCAACGCTCCCTGGCTGCTGGACCAGCTTCATGCACTGCAGGCAATAAACACAAACGGCTGTTCTGGGAACAGGTTTCCACGTCATCTACCTCCTGCAACCTTGAATACCTGCAGAGTCTGTTCCCGACATTCCCCTGAGCTGGGATTCTTTAGAACTGCTCATTAATTTTTAAGGTTGGTGTAATTAAACCTTTACTTAAGAAACCGTCTCTTGACCCAGATGACTTGGTCAATTATAGACCTA